GTGGCCCCGCTGTCGCCATTTGTGTCCCCCTCATTGTCCTACGTGGCCCAGTTGCTACCCTCAGTGGCCCCATAGTTGCCTTCTGTGGCCCCGCATTATCTGCACTTCGTGGCCCCCGCTCGTTCGCACTCTTCGTGGCCCCATACGCATTCCCTTCGTGTCCCCGCTGTCGCCCTTCGTGGCCTACTTCGTGCCCTTCGTGGCCCTGCTGTCGTTCTCTCTCGCTCTCGCTTTCGCTCGTCGTCGCCGTCGTCGTCGTCGCGTCGTCGTCGTCGTCGTCGTCGTCGTCGTCGTCGTGGTCGGTCCCCTGTCCGTCCCTCTTGGGGTCGGGTCGACGGTCCGCGGCCGCCCCGCCGATCAGCGCTGCCGCTGGCCAGGCCGACGGTCCGCGGCCGCCCCGCCGCTTGCCGGGGCCCGGCCTGCAGGGAAGAAAGGTATACCCCCAAAAAGGGGTTCGATCGAAGACGAAGAGGGCGGGTATCGAGGGTTTGGGAAATAAAAAAAAAATTAAAAATAGGCGCGACTGGACACTCGAGCAAATATAAGGGCGAACAGTCCTAAACTTATTCTTATATTATTACTATTATTATTATTATTCTTGATTATTATTTATAATATAATTTATTATTATTATTGTTGTTGTTGCTGTTGAAGTTGAATTCTCACTTCTGAAGAATCATTATTGTTGATCCCCCCCACCGGTGCATATTGTTTTTTCTCCATCAAAGTGTGCCCCTCGACGCTTGCACTTTGTTTTTTGACAGGGAAGGTCTTCCTGCTCAAACTGAGCCCCTGGCCCCCAGGCTACAACAACAACGGCTCCCGCTTGAGACTTCCTTACAATTTAGCCAGGACCCCCGCTCCCGCCCGACGCTCTCGTTGGGGATTTCTTAGAATTTAATTGCTCCGTAGCTCTGGAGTCGGGCTCTCGCTTAAACTTGCTTGCAACTTACTGAAAGATAGCCTTGCGGTGGAAATTTCTTGCAATTTGCCCAAGCGCCACGCTCCCGACACCCAGGCACCCAGGAGTCGCGCCCGTTGTGGCCCCATGTGCATGCCCTTCGTGGCCCCACTGTCGCCATTTGTGTCCCCCTCATTGTCCTACGTGGCCCAGTTGCAACCCTCAGTGACCCCATAGTTGCCTTTCTGTGGCCCCGCATTATCCACACTTCGTGGCCCCCGCTCGTTCGCACTCTTCGTGGCCCCATACGCATTCCCTTCGTGTCCCCGCTGTCGCCCTTCGTGGCCAACTTCGTTCGGTGCCTCGTGGCCCTGCTGTCCGTTCTCTCTCGCTCTCGCTTTCGCTCGTCGTCCCGTCGTCGTCGGTCGCCGTCGTCTTCGACTTCGTCGTCGTCGTCGTCTGTCCGTCTTCGTCGTCGTCGTCGTCGTTGTGCGGTCCCCTGTCCGTCCCCTCTTGGGGTCGGTCGACGGTCCGCGGCCGCCCGCCGATCAGCGCTGCCGCTGGCCAGCCGACGGTCCGCGCCGCCCCGCCGATTGCCGGGGCCCGGCCTGCAGGGAAGAAAGGTTCACCCCCCAAAAGGGTTTTCGATCGAAGACGAGAGGAGGCGGGTAATCGAGGGTTTGGGACGTACGCGTTCTTGGACTACAGTCCGAGCATAATAAGGCGAACAGTCTTAAATGTTTGTTTTGTTGTTTTTTGTTGTTGTTGTTGTTGTTGTTGTTGTTGTTGTTGTTGTTGAATTTTCACTTCTGAAGAATAATTGTTGTTGATCCCCCCACACCGGTGCATACTGTTATTTCTGAATCAAAGTGTGCCCCTCGACGCTCGCACCCTCTTTTTTGACAGGGAAAGTCTTCCTGCTCAAACTGGCCCCCTGGCCCCCAGGCTACAACAACAACGGCTCCCGCCTGAGACTTCCTTACAATTTAGGCAGGACCCCCGCTCCCGCACGAGACGTCCTCGCATTTTATTCGGGAATCGCGCTCTCGCTTGGGATTTCCTTACAATTTATTAGGGAATCGCTCTCCCGGAGCTCTGGAGTCGCGCTCTCGCTGGAGACTTGCTTGCAACTTACTGAAGAACAGCCTTGCGTCGGAATTTCTTGCAATTTGCCCAAGCGCCGCGCTCCCGACACCCAGGCACCCAGGAGTCGCGCCCGTTGTGGCCACATGTGCATGCCCTTCGTGGCCCCGCTGTCGCCATTTGTGTCCCCCTCATTGTCCTACGTGGCCCAGTTGCTACCCTCCAGTGGCCCCATAGTGGCCTTCTGTGCCCCTCATTTCTGCCTTCGTGGCCCCCGCTCGTGTCGCGCTCTTCGTGGCCCCATCGCCTTCCTTCGGTCCCCCCGCTGTCGCCCTTCGTGCCTACTTCGTGCCCGTTCGGGGCCCTGGCCCTTGCTGTCGTTCTCCTCTCGCTCTCGCTTTCGCTCGTCCTCGCCGTCGTCGTCGTCGCCGTCGTTCTTCGACTCGTCGTCGTCGTAGCCGTCGCGTCGTCGTTGTCCGTCCGTTCCTCGTCGTCGTCGTCGTCGTCGTCGTCGTC